AGGGGTGGCCCCGGCGGGCCCCCCTCCTGTGTCCTGTCCCCCCCCTGGCAGCAGTGCCTCCCACCCCACGTACTCAGAGAGCTGGAGCTGCTGACGCTGGAGGAGTCGCTGCTGGGCGAAGGCGCCTCGCTGCTGGGGCTGTGCCGCAGGGAGCTGACGGGCTCGTCGCACCCATTGAGGTTCCCGAAGGTGATGCGGGCGTTGAGGATGTGGAAGATGGGAATTTCTGCAAGGGGAAATCAAAAAGCAGGGAGGGAAGCCAGTTGTGCCAACACCAACAGCAAAGAAACCCCTCCCCTCCCCGTACCGATCTTGACGGGGAAGCCGGGCGGGAGGCGCAGGGTGATGAAGTCCCGCAGTTTGGCGAACAGCGCGTTGCTTATTGCCATGAGGTCAATGATGGGGGCAACCTGCTCGCAGAGGGACAGCGGGTGGTCCTCACACAACCACAGCTTCGCCTTGAACCTGCCGGGGACAGGCACTGGACTGGGGACCCCTGCCTGCCCCCCCTGGGGGCTCTGCAGTGGTTGTAGGGGGAAAACCAAGCAGGGGTAGGGGGGATGTCCCAAATTTCCCTCTTTCTCCCTCACTTCTGTGTCTTGGTGGTGAGCTCCATGGGCCGCCCCATGTCCCTGTTGCCCAGCTCGAAGTTGGGGTTGAAGTACTCCTCGGGGGTGATGGCGGTGGGGTTGGCGTGGCTCAGCGTCTGCGTGATCAGCGTCTGCAGGGCACCTCGGTGGGGTAATGATGAGGGGTCCAGCCATGGGGCCACCCACCCGTGGGGACCCCCAGGACACTCACCCCATTGTTGGGCCCCACATGCTGCTCGGCGATGCCCAGGAAGGACTGCAGGGGGGTCTTGCTGCCTGCAGGAGAGGCGGGGGTGAGGCCCCGGGGCACCAGCACAACCTGCCACCACCCCCGCCCGCGCCGCCTCCACCTTTGCTCTTGCCCTTGTGCTGGTCCGAGAGGTGCTCGGTCCGTGTCCGTGTGATCAGCTCCACATTGGAGGCACCATAGACCTGGCCAAGGAGGGGAGAACACCAGAGGGAGCTGCTCTCCCTGACACCTGCCATAACCCTCTCAGGCAGCTCAACCCCCTCCCTGTCCCTCACCTTGGCCTCGTACCCATTCACCATTTCCGTCTTCTCGCTCCTCCAGCCCAGGATCCCAGACTTGTTCCTGGGGGTGACACGGGGCACCGTGAGCGATGGATGGTCTCGCTCAGACAGCCCAGGGTGAGGACACCCCAAGGGGGCTCTGGATCCCACCTCTCAAAGGCGATGTTCTTGGTGTCGAGCTGGGTGGTGACCACGGGGGCTGTCAGCCTCCCCATCACCTGCTCCTCCGTGGGCTGCACAGCAGCCAGCAGCACCTCCTGGTCATGGCCTGCCAGGGCCAGTGTCTCTGAGTAGACCACCCGCCGGTCATGGTCAATCTCCATCACCACTGCGCTGGTGTCTAGAGGGAGGGGGGGGTCAGGGTATGAGGGGACAACCACAGTCCCCACCACGTCACCCAGCCCCGCTGCAGTGCCAAGGGGCTCTGCTGGTGCTGGCTCACCTTGTCCCCGAAAGACAAAGCTGCGGTTGCCCCGCTGCCATGTCATGTGGTCGAAGCCCAGTAGCGTGGTGTCCACCCGCAGGTTTTGGCCACTCTTCCACACCTTGTAGGTGTCACTGGGGCAGATCTTGGACACCAGTGGCACTGGGGAGAGACAGCGATAGCCCAGCCAGGGATGGAGCCACCATGCGCCCCTGGATGGGCTGCTAGTGCTGAGCTGGGTGGGGGACACATGTGGGGAACCTGATGCTTTGGTAGGATGAGGGTCTGCAAGCTTGGGGTGTAGGGGACAAGTGTCCCCTGTTCTGGGGATGGATGCTGGGGCTGGGGGACTCTGCTGGGAATGCCACGGTCTGCCCTGAGCTTACCCCAGCTGGTGAACTCCCACTTCATCTCCACATAGAAGTCCTGAGCCTGAGGAGAGCACAGCAGGGTCAGGAGGAGCCTGTCACCAGCATCTACCCCAGCTCACCGAGGTTGCCCCCCAGCAGGAGGTACCTTGCGCAGCTTCTCCAGCAGGATGGGGATCCCAGCCAGGCGCTTGATGGCTCTCTGGTAGTCCCGGTAGCGCAGGACCAGCTGCACCAGCTCCAGGTCCCGGGTGCTCACGGCCTCCTGCAGGACTGCAGGGCAGAGCAGGGCAATACCAGGGGGGTGCCACTGCCCGTGCACCGCACGGGAGCCACACGCATGTACCACCATGTGAGTTGTTCCCTGGGGAGCTGCAGCACCAGGTTCAAGACGCCTGTGCCCGTGCTCGGGCAGCTGGCTGGGGAGGCCAAAGCAGGGAGCCCCCCCGCACCTCTCACCTGTCCAGCCGCTGCGGTTCTCCTTGCCCACGTCAGCACCATGCTCCCCAGCGTGGTGGCCGGGTGCAGTGGGGTGCGTCCCCGGGGGTCCAGCTGCTCGATGTCAGCCTGGCAGGTGGGAGCAGGGCTCAGGGGACACCCCAGGGGCTGGATCTTACCCCCCCACCAATGCCCCCCTGCGGGCCTGA